AAACCCCTTGCATGGGGAATTGCATAAATACTGGAGCATGTGAATAAAGACCTCAGTTGACTCCCAGAACTGTGTTTCGTCCAGTTACTGGGGGATTTGGGATATTGCCTTACTTTCCAGCGCTTTACTTTGGATTACTTTCTTAACCAGCGGAGATATTGGGATTTCATATTACAGCTCCGCTACAATTGGTGGCAAGCGACGGGATCCAACCTTACAGCCGAAAAGCGTGGTTTGTGCAATTGAAACTGCCGAACAGGAAAGGGAATGGCAATTGGAATGCAACAAAAGAACCGAACACAGAAGTTAATGGAGACGGATTATACTACATTAAAACGGCAGACGTTAAAGGAATTACTGGAAGCCAGGGGTAAGATAGCCAGCAACAAATCAAAAGCTGTGCTTATTGCCGAACTGATGGAGGGAGACAGGGCTTGCAACACCCCCACCAGCCATGGAAGAGACCCTCTACCAGAGGGAAATGAGGACCAGGATGGAATTTTTACCCCAGCCTGTACCACTGGAAATGCTGAATGTACTGTTGGCGGATGTGCAGGAGTATGTGATGGCACACGGACCGCAGAATTCACCCTCCAGGGCAGAATCTATTACTGCTGCGGTCAGCAACCAGGTAAAGCCTAAGATCCCATACCATGCGTTTAAAGTGTTTTGCGAAGATAAGGACGAAATTGATGGATATTTACAAGACTTTGAAAGGCTATGTGACTTACATGATTTGGAGCAGGCAGTATGGGTGCCGTTATTAGCAGGCAAATTGTCAGGTTGGGCAGCAGAAGCCTATCGGGCTGTACCCAGGGAGGACAGCAAAGATTATGCCCGGCTGAAACAGGCCATACTAGAACGATACGCCATTACCCCGGAGGCATACCGGCGCCAGTTTCGCGGATTACGCAAACCCGAGAAAGACTCCCACGCTGAGTGGGCACACAAACTGGATCAAGCCTCCCAGGGGTGGATACAGGCCAGTCGAGCGACCACTATGGAGGAGTTGCGACAATTGATGTTGCTGGAACAATTTTTTAATGGTCTGTCCCCAGAGGCACAAGAATGGGTGAGAGACCGAAAACCCCTCACCCTAACAGAAGCGGCACAACTAGCTTACCAACATTATGACGCCAGAAGGCATCACGGTAACCTGAACCGGGGATACTCTTGACCTGCCGCTTCACCTCATACAACTACCCCTACGGCACACACAGTGTGAGCCATTCCGACCAAACCCGGTGGCTCACACTCCACCATCCAGATGTAATGGTAGGGCTAATATCCAGTGCCAAACGTGCAAGCAATGGGGCCACATGGCGAGAGAGTGCACCCAGAATCGGAGCCGGCAAGCATGGAACCAAGTACGGCCAAACCCAGCACCCAGAGCAGCTGCCCACCACTACCAAGTGGAACCAGCCACCCAGGAGATGCTCTTTAATCAGACAGAACAGCCCCTGGGAATACTACATGAGGTGATGTCAGTACAAGCCACAGACAACAGGCAACATCACCGTCAGCTGGTAACTCTGGAAGGGAAAGAGTTACAAGGGCTCCGGGATTCGGGGGCCACTCTGACTTTGGTAGCCCCTCATTTGGTTCCAAGCTCAGCACACACCGGAGGATCCATAGCAGTGCGACTAGCAGAGGGAGCCGTATACAGATTACCCACTGCGAAAGTACATTTGAATTGGGGTGTTGGGGAGGGGATGGTAGAGGTGGGCATGATGCAGAAACTGCCGGCAGAGGTCGTATTGGGGAATGACCTGGGCCGAATTACTTCCACCTTTATACCCCAGGCTCCTCTACAAGAGGCCCACCCAGTGACCACCCGGCAACAGGCTCGCACCACGACTCCGTCCACGCACTCTGAAGCTCAGGTAAGAGACAGTGACATTCCTATGACCCGTGTTACCTGGGATACCCCGACTGAGTTTGAGGCAGAGGTTAAGATAGATCCCACGTTAAAAGTATACAGGGATAGGGTGATAGCTGACCAGGCCGGATTAGAGGGAGAGCGGTATGTCTGGGAAAAGGGGTTGTTATACTGGATTGCAGAAAGAGTAGTGGGGGGGTCTGTAACTGTATCTACGAGACAGCTGGTGGTCCCCCAGAAATATAGACCAGAACTGCTTCGGATCGCTCACGACATCCCCTTGTCTGGGCATTTGGGGATGACTCACACTTGATATCGCCTGACCCACGCCTTTTTCTGGCCAGGTATATCCAAAGACGTGCGCCATTACTGCCAGACATGCGATATATGTCAGCGAGTAGGCAAGAGGGGTGATCGCCACAAGGCCAAACTATGCCCCCTGCCCATCATTGAAGAACCATTTAGTAGGGTGGCCGTGGATATAATACAGAAAAAACAAATAACTAGTGTATAGGCGCTTCGTGAATATAAAGATAAAAGTAGTGGAAGATATAAAAGTGTTTCCCCAAGCACAATAAAAACGTGAATAACAAAGACAAAATTTATATCAAACCACACAAAGTGAGAAAGTAGTAAATATGCAAAAATACAACCTGAGCTTGTCAGTAGTGATGTCGCGAACCCGAAATTTTCGGTTCGCGAACGGCGAACGCGAACTTCCGCAAATGTTCGCGAACCGGCGAACCGCCCGAAACGCCATTGACTTCAATGGGGAGGCGAATTTTAAAACACACAGGGACTCTTTCTGGCCACAATAGTGATGGAAAAGTTGTTTCAAGGGGACTAACACCTGGACTGTGGCATGCCGGAGGGGGATCCATTGCAAAACTCCCATGGAAAATTACACAGTTGATACAGAGTCTGGTTTTAATCCATAAAGGGCAGAAATCACCTAACATTCCTAAATCACAATCAATATGGATTGACACCTGACGTATGACATATTGACACCTTGACATATGGATTGACACCTGTCCTCAGAGCCCCTGATGCACACGGACACAGAGCAGAATAGAGACTGGTCCCCTACATAGGGTCACTTGGCAGATATGGATTGACACCTGTCCTAAGGATCCCTGATACACACTGACACAGAGCAGAATAGGGACTGTTCCCCTACATCGGGTCACTTGGCAGATATGGATTGACACCTGTCCTAAGGTTCCCTGGTACACACTGACACAGAGCAGAATAGGGACTGGTCCCCCTACATCGGGTCATTTGGCAGATATGGATTGACACCTTGTTACAAAATGCTATTTGTAACGGGCCCTTTAAATGGCAAATTGCCCTGCTTCCCTGGGTTGTGGAGAAGCCTATTTGCCAGCCTCCTCCCGCATGACTATGGCCCCTGGGAGATTGTGAAAATGTTTGCACTTTTATTTGGTGTGTATGGCCTTTAAGACTGTCAGTGGGCATATTGGGGCTTATGGACTCTTTATGTGACTGGTGCTGGCCCTTTAAACACCTTTTTGGGACATCAGGAAGATTGGGACACTGCCTCTTTAAGGCCGTGTCCCCAGACTTGTTGGGGACACGGCCCCTTTAAGACGGTGTCCCCTGTGTCCCCAGACCTGGTGCAAACCCTTTGTGCCTGCCTTGTTATTTCCCACTTGGTTCAGTAAATGGGAAATTATTTCAGCTGCAGAGACTAAGTCCCATTCGGCGATGGGACTTAGTCTTTTTTTCAGCCCTTTTTTTCAGCCTTATTTCAGCTGCAGAGACTAAGTCCCATTCGGCGATGGGACTTACAGTATATACTCGAGTATAAGTCTAGTTTTTCAGCACATATTTTGTGCTTAAAAACCCCCACTCGACTTATACTTGAGTCACTGTCTGTATTATGGCAACTTAGAGAGCCACGGCCGTCAGAGCCATGGCAACGATCCGCGCGGCAACCAGACCGCGAGACTTACAGTGGAGCTGACCGGAACGGAGGAGAAGGGAGCTGACAGGAGCTGCAGGAAAGGTAAGTAAATGCTTCCTGCCGGCCCCCACTTCACAGCCCATGCCACTGGACCACCAGGGATTAAGATAGCCCCCCTCCCTGACCAGTTAACAAGCAGGGGGGGGGGACAAAAAAAATTAAAATAATCAAAATGCCCTCCCCCCACCCAGTTCACACACACTCTGCATTATATACACACTCTGCATTATATACACAGAGTGTGTGTATATAATGCAGTGTGTGTTTGTATGAGTGTGTGTGTGTATATAATTATAAAATCACAGAATTTCATAGCCCCAAGTTTTACCCCGACTTATCCACGCAGGCATAGCATATTTCACAATTGTTGTCAAGGCAAACTGCACCTCGACTTATACATGAGATCGAATTTGCTACACAGTATATACGGTGTCTTTTTTCAGCCGCTTTTTCTTTTCAGCCTTATTTCAGTTGGGAAAGAGACTAAGTCCCATTCACATGGGACTTAGTCTTTTCAGCCTTATTTAGTGCTGTAGGAGACTAAGTCCCATTCGCGATGGGACTTAGTCAAGCTTTTTTCAGCCTGAAATAGACTGACCCTCACAGCCCAAATCTATGGAACTGTTTTGGGTAGGAAAATGTGCTTGCGGTCGTCATAAAGGACCTCCAGCTAACTTTTTAACCCCTGGATGGATATGGCTGATTTTTGGTTATGTTTATGTTTTAAGTGTGCTGATTCCAAATATGTAATTATGAAGATGGGATGTGTAGTTTTAAAGTTACAGGGTATGGCTTAAAACTGTATTTTTACTGCCTGTGTTTAATTATGTTAATCTCTTCCCAAACGTCATTTCGTTCAAAGTGGAGAGAATGTTAAAAAAATATATTTTTGTTCTGAGTGTGAGAAATGCTTTTCAGCCGCTTCTAATCTTAAGCATCATTTGAGGAGCCATACAGGAGAGAAACCTTATTTGTGGTGTGTTTAGTATTGTTCTGATCAGTTTAATACCTTCCGCCTCTCCTATCAGTGGACG